AACTTAGGCACATCTAAACAAGGATAAATACGCCAGCAGTAACACTGACGCTACAGTATGGTCCCTCATGAGGGCTAATGATGTTTTTTGTGTGTTGACCCCTCCCCGGTAAAGTGGTACTAAAAAGGGTGTCGTTGTGGCTGCATGATTCAGGTGTGTGGGGTCTACTCCATCACTAGGAGTCCTTAGTACGTGTGGTGGCCTAGTATATATTTTATCTGCGGATGGTAGGTCCCTCTCTTCTTTTAGGGACCGTACATGGTGGAGGGTCCCTCCCCGGAACCCGGGGACCCGTCCTGTCCCTTCGGGGTTCCGTAGTGACCCTCCTGGTGTACACCCCTCCCCTCCCCTCCTCCGGTACCCTACCCTACCCTACCCCTTCGGGGCAATCATAGGATAGATAAGAATATAATCTTATTCTACGGAGGTATGTCACCTATGTCCGAATGCAAGCCCACAGAGCTTTGTTCGGGGGCCATGGCTGACGGAATTCCTTGTCACTTCTAGAGGATCTCCCGTAATTACAAATAAGGGTGCCCCCCAAGACCCCGATAGACATAGACCTCCCGAGGGATGGTTATTGAAAGAAGTTGAGGTAAGCTGTAGAGTCACTAGTGTTTATTTACCCCATGGGCAAGATGTAATCTAATATAGTATGTGATAGAACAAAACAGGTTCAGCATTCTAGAGTACATGTTGGTGGCCTAATGAACCATAACTATTCTAGAGGAACATATCACTAGAAGTGACATATGATAGATAGTTAACTAAGAGGTAAGCTAGGGATACAGATATCTATATAAATATACCTAGAATAATCCCCTCCGGGATGGTAGACCCCCTGGGGGGATGACTCTCTTTCTTTAAGGTAAGATCCCCTAAAAAGTTATGCACGCTATACTAAACATAGTTTAAATCACTTATGATTTCTTAGGGCAGGATTTGAACCCACATGCTTTTATTCACCAACCAATCGGAGAGGTGGTCATGATAACGATAACTTGCACGTAGATCCAACATTTGGAAACATCATTCCTATACCCGATGGACGTCGTGTTGATTCCGGTAATCTAAAAGGTCCCTGTTGACGTCAGAGATATTTCCATCCGTAGAGGTTGACTCATTTTTACAATTGGACACCCTCTCCCCAAAGACGGACAATCCCCTCATTGCATGTCACAATTCCAAGGAAGTGCTTCACCTCCAGTCTCTCAATTCCCTCAATGACAAGAAGTCGCTCTTCCTCTGTTCTTGTTGCCAGAATGCAGAGCCAATAAATGAAGACACAGCCTCCACATATTCGTGTGTATCTGTTTGTGCTGATAACACACAGAACAACAACCACAGCCATGAGAGCAACATTGTTTCTGTGTATCCTTGTGTGTCTGAACAGTGTGGTTGTTGGTGACATCTTCTCTGTATTCAATGCCCACCCTCGAAGATGGTTTCTTCTATCCTCCGCTCTTTCTCTTTTACTCTCCACCTTCTCTCTTTCCTCCTTGTCCATCCCACCCCTGCACATCAGATGGTATGTTGTCTTCATCGATTCACAGGGACGTGTTCGCACAAAGACAGTCAAGAGAGCATCCAGAGTCATCATCGAGAAGTACTACCCACGCTTGACACTGGACTTCCAGACAAACAAGCGAATCTGTGATGAAATAGCACTAATCCCAAAAAAGCGTCTTAGAAACAAGATTGCTGGATTCACAACGCACCTCATGCGTCACATACAGAAGGGACCGATCAGGGGAATCAGCTTCAAGAAGAAGAGAGAGAGCGTAAGGACAACTACGTCCCAGAGGTGTCTCCACTTGATGCACCTGTCGAGGTGGATATTACAGTCTTTCCTTAGGGACACCCTATCGGGGAGACAGGTCTACTGGGGGACCCCTCTCTATGGGCTCTCGGATATGGAGTTGATTCAATCTGTGTATGTTAGCAGGTCTACGGCTTGTACTACGATGGGCATAAAGCCATGTTGGGCACCACATATTTCACTACATTGTCCATAGTAAATACCATGTCTCTTAACTAAAAAAGAAACAGCATTTAGTCTTCCAGGAACGGCATCGACTTTAATACCTAAGGAAGGAAGAGCTCATGAATGAATAACATCCGCTGCTGTAACAATAACTCTAACGTGAGTATTGGTTGGCAACACAATACGATTATCAACTTCTAGTAATCTCAAGTCTCCATTTTCTAAATCTTCTGTCGGAAGCATGTATGAGTCAAAACTTAATGACTCTTCGTCACTTCCACAGTAGTCACTATATTCATAAGACCAATACCACTGATGTCCAATTGCTTTTATTGTAATTGCAGGATCTATAACTTCGTCCATTAAGTATAAAAGTTTGAAACTTGGGAAAGCTATAGTAACTAAAATCACTGCAGGAGTAATAGTTCAAATTACCTCAATCACAGTCCCATGAGTTAAATACTTGTGGGAAATAGCTCTTTTTTCATCATTAAACTTAATACATATTTGTCCAATAATTCAAAAAGTAGACACTCCAATTAAAATCATATAAAACAATAGTTTATCATGAAAAAAAACAATTTCTTCACCAAGGGAAGATGCCATATCTTGCATTCCTAGTTGGTAAGACTCAGCACAATCTAAATTTAGTCCATAGAATTTAATTTTAAATAAATTACTTATCACCTCCGGATAACTGGACTCGAACCAGTTTGAAAGTTTGGAAGACTCACACACCCATTGTGTTATACCCGTCTCTCTTTATGTGGCTATAGGTATCTCCATAGGTGGTTAGCTAGCC